TGTTTAGGATAGGGATTCTAAAACTTTTTGGTCTCAAGAAGACCCTCTTACACTTTTTTTAAACATTCTTAATATTTTTCCCCCAATTACATGTAAAAATATTTTTAAACTTTTAAAAAAAAATTTACGTTCCAAATTCTCTCCTTGCTTCCCTCCCCTTCCCCTTCCCTGAGATGTAAGCAATAAAACATATTTCCATATTAGTTATGTTATGGGGGAAAAACACAAAGGAAAAGAAAGTAAAAAACAAACTGTGTTTCAATCTGAATTCAGATTTCATCAGTTCGTTCTCTGGAGATGGATAGCATTTTTCATCATAAGTTATTCATAACTGTCTTCGATCACTGTATTGCTGAGATCAGCTATGTCATTCACAGCTGATTATCATACAATATTGATGTTACTAAGTACAATGATTTACTGGTTCTGCTTACTAACAGCTCTGTAACTTGTAGCAGTAAATGTTTCCATTTGGCCAAGTCTACATTTTAAGGAGTTCTCGTTTTTTAGTAAAATTTTGTATAGGTCTTTCTGCTTTTTAAGGTATTCTTCTCTTCACTGAATTTTTCAGCCTCTTTTTACCATTTGACCTGCTTTGTTTTTTAAGTTGCTTTTTTTTCCTCCAATATTTTTGTGCCTCCTTTGCCAAGCTGTTGACTCTATTTTTTTCACGATTTTCTTGCTTTTCTGTCATTTCTCTTTTCATGTCCTTTTATTTGAATCTTAAAATCCTTTTGGAGCCCTTCCAGGAATTTTTTTGGGGGGCCTGAGACCAATTCACATTTACTTTGGAGACTTTGGATGTAGCAGTTTTGACTTTGTTGTCTTCTTCTGAGTTTGTGTTTTGTTCGTCCCTGCCACCATAGTAACTTTCTATGGCCAGGATCTTTTTTTGCTTGTTTGCTCATTTTTCCAACCTATTTCTTGACTTTTAGCTTTATATTAAATTTGGGTTCTGCTCCTGGGGTGGCAGGGGCACTGTCCCAAGCTTCATCGTTTTTTGTGCAGCTATTATCAGAGCTGGTTCTACAGAGTCTATAAACTTTCAGTTCTTTCAAAATGATATGAAGTGAGGTGTGTTCACTACTCTCCTGGCCTATGTTCTGGTGTGTGAGTGACCATAAGCATTCTTTTCTACATTGGAACTATAATGAGGGTCCCTATTCCCCCATGGCCTCAAACTCTAGTATGCTAGCATTCCTCCTTGCCCTGGGACTGCCACCTAGGACTAAACTTTTTGGTCTCAAGAAGACCCTTTTACACTTTTTTTAAACATTCTTAATATTTTTCCCCCAATTACATGTAAAAATATTTTTAAACTTTTAAAAAAAATTTTAAGTTCCAAATTCTCTCCTTGCTTCCCTCCCCTTCCCCTTTCCTGAGATGTAAGCAATAAAACATATTTCCATATTAGTTATGTTATGGGGGAAAAAAACACAAAGGAAAAGAAAGTAAAAAACAAACTCAGATACACATATGGGCAACACAACAGAGTCCTGCCCCAGTGCCAGCAAAGGGGCCTCTGTCCTTTTCCTTCTAACCAACTGTCTGACCCCCTTACTATCTATAGACTGAGAGCTTAGGAAGTTGCTGCTACCACTGAAACAGTTGCCCCCCAAGGCCTGCTGCTTGTTTCCTATGGTGCAGCCTGCTCTGTATTGCACTTCACTCTCATCCCAGTGTGATAGACTTTCCGCTGACCTTCCAAGTTGTTTTAGGCTGGAAAAATGTTCCACCCCATTCTTTTGTGGGTTCTAGTCTCCAGAATTTATTCTGAGGCATTATTTAAAGTTGTTTGGAGGGGAACTGGGTGGAGCTCAGGTGAGTCACTGTCTTTTTTCTGCCATCTTACTTCCTACCCTTCCCCTTTTACACTCTTAAAAATTATTGAGGAATCCAAAGAACTTTTGTTTATGTGGTTATATTTGATACTTACCAAAGTCAAAGTTAAAACTGATAACTAAAAATACTTTTATTAATTAAAAACAGCAATAACTAAGTATATATTAATATAAATTATATGTTAATAGAAAATAACTATTTTCCTACACAAAATGAAAATAATGAGAAGAGAGGAATTGTTTTAAATACTTTTGCCAATCTCTTTAATGTCTGGATTCTCATATCTGCTTCTGCATTCAACCTGTTGTGATATGTTGTTTTGGTTGAAATACCAAAAGAAAATCCAGCTTCCAATAGATATATAGTTTGAAAATTTAGTAGATAAATAATGCCTTAGTATTATTATGAAAATAGTTTTGACCTCATGGGTCCCCAAATGGGTCTTTGGGACCTCCACCAGACTTTAAGGTATAGGAAGTTCTAGATGAAGAAACTCCCTTTATCGATGAAGGTTTTAAAAAAGAGAGAGAGAGACATCAGTAACATTGAATTTTTTTAAAAAAATACTTGTCAAATTGAAATTGATCTTAGGGTTCCAAGTCCCTCATTTGACAGTTGAGGAAGTTGAGATTCAAAGAGATCTAGTGATTTATCAATGTCACACAAGTGAAGACATTCAACTCTATTTGTTCCTCTGTCTAGAGATGGAATATTCTTTGGGGTACTGCACATGATGGTCTCATGTTGAATTGGTCACAATAGTTGGGTAAGCAATTTGGTAAAGATGACAAAAATATGGGAACGTTCAAGAAGTTGGAGGGGTTTCAGAAAGACAGACATATGAATACATTGTTAGTAGAGCTATGAATTACTACAAATCATTCATAAAGCAATTTAGAAGTAGGCAAATAAGATTCCACTACCAGCACACATATACTCCATGGAAGCCACTGACCAAAAGAAAGGATGTACACCTCACTTTATTTATAGCAGCACTTTTTGTGGTAGCAAAGAACTAGAAACAAAGTACATGCCCATGGATTGGAGAACAGCTAAACCAATTAGAATATGTGAATGTAATGGAATATTACTGTTGTAAGAAACAATTATGATGAAGAGAAACATAGAAGGACATGAATTGATGCCAAGTGAAGTAACCAGAACCAATATATACAAGTACAACAATGTAAATGTAAGACACCAACAACCACAGAACAACTGAAAATAAATGATGCAAAATTACAATGAAGAGATATGAGAGGACACAGCAGCAAGTGTGGGGGATCTTTGGGAGTGGAACATTGCACACCAGGTCAGATTTTTAAAATGTATTGATTGGTTTTGATTTTTTTTCCTCTTCTTTCTGTCTCTTTGTCTCTTTGTGTGGTGTCTCTCTATATACCTCTTTTGATGTCTTTCGGGGATGGCGAAAGGGGAGAAATACAGGAGGAAATATAGCTATTGTAAACAAAACAAAAGATATCAATAAAATGAAATAAAATGAATGCAGCAGAATTGCAAAGAATAATCTTGGTCTCACTTAAGAGATATGACTCTTCCTTCCACTTGTTTGCATAGGTTGGGGTGCTAGAAATCTAGATGTGGAATGCTGTATTAAGGTCAGATTTTTTTAAAAAAGTATTGATTTTCTCTGATTTTTTTTCTAAAAATAAATATTTATTATAAAGGATGACTTTTGGGAGAGGCAAGGATGATGGGTTATAAGGGAAAATTTAGGCATTGCAAAAATCATTAATTTTATTTACTACTAATAACAAATAGTAATAATAATAATAATGATAAAAATCACATTTACTGAAGTACTTTCCAAATATTATCTCACTTTATACACACAATCAATCAATCAATCAATCAATCAATCAATCAATACTTATTAAGTGCCTATGTCAGGCTCCATTCTATGGGATGGGGGCCCAAAAGGAGGCAAAAGACCCTGAAGGAACTTACAATCTAATGGAGGGAGACAACATGCAAACATATATACATATGCACATACATACATACATACATACATACATATATACACAGAGCAAGCTATATACAGGATAAATAGGAAATAATTAACAGCAGGAAGGCACTAAATCAGGAGGTAGTAGGAAAGACTTCCAGTAGAAGATGAGATTTTAGTTGGGACTTAAAGGGATGTAGCAATCCTGGGAGGTAGGTGCTTGTTATTTCCATTTTACAGATGAGGAAACTGAGGCACAGAGGTGAAGACACCTCCTGCCCAGGGTCACACAAGGGGGAAAAGTCCAGAGTGCTCTAGTACTGTGCACTGTGTCACCCAGCCCAGTAGATGGGAGCTTCAAGTTAGAACTGTCATTCCAGAAAGCGATTTGGAATTATGCAAATAAAGTGTTTAAATACCTATGGGGTTCCTACCCCGTGAGTGCACTCCTGGGTATATAGGCAGATTATCAACTAAAAGAAAGGCTCTCTCTCTTTCCTTCTTTTTCTTTATCTCTCTCTTTCTTCCTTTATTCACTTATTTATTTTTATTCTAAAAGTACATTTAATATTTATTTAAAATTTTAAAAAAATTACTTTCATCTTTTAAAAAGTTATTTTTCAAAAATATTTTTATTTCTCAAAAAAGCAATTTATTATTTCAAAGCTAAAATTATTATTTATTCGTTATCATCCCATTAAAATTTATTTATATTTTTAAACAAATGTATTATTGTATTAAAAATGTATCTATGAATTATTATTTTTAGTCTTGCCGCCCCTCCCCCACCTGAGGAGAAAGCAAGCTACAATGCGGTGGCTGTTACACCTGTGCGGTCATGCGAAATCCATTTCATATGGGAAGGCTCGGTTTTCCAGGAGTGTTGGGGGAGGGGAGGACGCCCACCTTTCTGTTCCTGCCTTCCCGTGACACCCCAGCTCCCGGCCGGCCTTTCGCAGAACAAAAGCGAACTCGATCTATTTTGAGCCCCCGCGGCCCCTGTCGTCCAAGTCCCGCCCTCGGTCGCCCGGGGTTGGTCGTTGCCATGGTTACGCTTTGTTTGGAGGCAATGGACTCGCTTTTCCAGAGGAGGTAAAAAGCCTGGGCAGAGGCCGAAGGTTCAAGGCAGCCTGGGTGGGCCGGGGTCTGGGGGGCCGCGCCCCGTCCGGTCCTCGGAGGGCTTCCGGCGGAGGCGGCCTCGGGGTGGGTGGGCAGAGGAGGGGGTGGCGCCGGAAGCGGAGACAACCCCCCCAACCCCTCGCGGTGCGAGGCCCACTCGTGGGGTCTGAATTGCCTTAGCTACGTGGGCTGCCTCTACAGGTAATGAGCTCCCCGTCACTGGAGGTGTTCAAGCAGAGGCTGGATGGCCATTTGTTGGGTATGTTACAAGTGGGGGTCCTGGTCCAGGCTCAGCTTGGACCGAAGGAAGGCCCTTCCCCCCCCCCCGAACACCTCCAAACCTCCTCCCTCCCACGAAATGTTCAGCTTTTGAGAACTAGGGTCCTAATCCCAACTCTGCCACTAACACCCCCTGTGACCTCAGGCAAGTCACTTCAACTCCCTGGGCCTCAGTTTCCTCTCTTCTGTAAAATGGGGAGGTCGGACCAGGGGCCCTCCAAAGGCCCTAGCAGCTCTCTCTATGAATTCACTAGGCTAAACCAGGCAGGTTTCCTTCTCTTCTAAAAGGAATGCAAAAGCTCTTGCCCCTTCTGATGTCGCTTGGCTGGCTTCAGGGGTGTAGTTGGACTGTTAGCTTTGTGACCTTGAGCCATTCACTTTAACTACCTCAGTTTCCTCACCTGTAAAATGAGGGGATTGGACTTCACTAAATTAACCCTTCTCCTAGAAACTCTTCTAATTCACCAGACTCAAATTCTTTCTAGGCTGTTTTAAAGCACAAGTTTTCTTTTTATCTTTTTCTAAAAGGAATGAAACAGCTTTTGCCAGGAAATGGAGCATTGTTGACCTGTAAGCTCCTGTGACCTTGAGCATATCACTGAAGCTGTCTCAGTTTCCTCTTCTGTAAAATGAGATTGGACTCTAAAATCCCCTCCACCTGTGAATCTCCAAATGTCATAAATATCCTGCAGAGTTTCCCTCAGATTTATTTCATCTTGTTTTTCACTTTTACCCAATTTCCTAAAGTATCTTGTTTTTAATTTTTTTAAAAAACATGTTGATTTTCTGGACACCAGTTTCTTAAACAGGGATTGGGCTAGATGACTTCTCTTGTCCTTCCAGCTCTAAAGCTCCCTGTCTGGTTCTACAATTCTGAACAAATACACTTAAGATTTTTGTTGTTGTTGTTGTTGTTGTTGATAAATTTTTATTGATATCTTTGGGGTTTTTTTTACATCAACAAAACTTGTCCCAGTATCTTGCCTCTGTCAGAGAGCCGTCCTAAATAACAGATAATATTTTTAAAGGAAAGAGACAAAACCAGTAAAATTGATCAATACATTGAAAATGTCTAAAAATATATGCAATATACTACACCCATGGACCTTATACCTTTTCAGGGAATGGAGTGGAGAGTCTTCTCACTCTAGATTTGTTATAAATGCTTTGTTTATTTGTTGATTGCAGTCTCCAAAAGAAGAAGAATGGGGGGGGGAGAAGTATGATATTAGTCATAGGCTAAATCATTTGACCTTTCTAGGCCTCAGTTTCCTCATCTGTAAAATTATAGGGGTAGCCTAGACAGACTTTACCATAGTTTTTATAATTCTATCTTTAGTGAAAAGAAACATGATAATCCCTTCTATCAGGAAAAGCCCTTTGCATATTCAGCAAACATTGGGGTGCCAGCAAGCCCCGTTTATTCAGGTACCTCTTTTTAGCTTAGCTGATTGTTGAAGCTGTAAGACAGATTTGTTTAGTGGATTTAAGACTTGCAAAATGAAAAGTCTGGACTTAGTGGCCTCTAAGGTGCCTTCCAGCCTAAAAATCTAGGATTTTATATGATCCTATGATTTTGCTGTTAACAGTAAGCCATTTCTGTCATTCCTACCTTCAAATGAATGAATTTATCAGATCATTTTCATTGTTCCAGTTTGGACCTGAGGGAGAACAGAGAGTCAGTTTAAGGAGTTAGAGAAGAACCACCAGCCTTGAGTAGGAGAGACATTCTTCTATAGTGCCTCTCACTTCCTCTCTGTTAGGAGTAACTTCTATAGGAAAAAAAAAAGACTCCTGAGGTAGATGAGGCAAACTCATTTATTACTCATTCTTGCAAGAAGCTGGTGTGCTGCTAGAGGCAGACACACCCTGCAGAAGCAAGAGCAAACAGTTATATTCCTGTCCCTAAACACAGGGTCCCTCCCTTGTTTCTCCATTGGCTGGATACTTCGAGGTGTACAACTTCCCGGAACTCCTATTTCATATTACTGTTTAATATGTTCTTCCCTCCCACTACGTACAACATTGTGCCTAAAATTGTGTTAATTCCCCCTGCCCAGGAAAAGTTAATATGCAGAGGTTCTTTAAGCATGCACACCTTAGCCAAGCTATAACCTTTGTATTTCTTTCTGATTCCACTGCTGATGTCAGCAGGTTTTGTCTGTCTCTAAGTGGTATTGTTAAAAATAATTCTTGAGCAAGACTGCTGCTTCTGCCCTGTGACAACTTCTGAATTCTGTTGTTAGTACCACTTCCTCTATATCTGTGGAAACATAATTTCATATACCTTACACTCTCCACCCCTCAACTTTGTAAAGATTCAGCAGCAGTCTCCTGTGTCCTCTTTGGTGTTAAGCTTAGTCACAGCATTTAGTTCCAATTCATAAAATCATCGACTTAGTGCTGGGAAGGATTTTAAAAACAATCTAGTCCTTGCTCTCATTTTACAGATGAGGATACCGTAACTGGGAGAGGTGAGAAGTCTGACTTTCTAAAGTCAGAGATAGTGAATAGCAGACCAGGATATGAACCCAGATTCCCTGACTTCCAATCTAGTGTCTTTTCTACTGTATCATTTTGCTTCTCTTCTCTTCTTTCCATTTACATAGTAATAATAATGTGTTGCATTTTAAGGTTTGAAAAGCACATTAAATGTATTTGCTCCTCACAACAATCTTGTGAGGTAGATTGTTATTGTATAGCTGAGGGAACTGAGTCATTCGGAGGTTAAGTGATTTGCCCAGGGTCTGGAGCTAGATTTGAACTCAGATCTTTCTGACTATAGTTCCAGCACTCAGTCCACTGTGCCACCTACCTGCTCCCAATCTTGTAGTTATTATGTATATTGTTTTCCTAGAAGGAAGGGAGAACACAGAAAGGGGAAGTTGGGAATAGAGACAAACTTTTTCTCCCTTTTAATTTTGCCTGTAAAGTTTGTAACTTCTTCCTCTCTTGATTTCTTCCCGACCAGTTCTAGGTAAAAATAAACGCAAGGCTTTCTCTTCCCTGATTTCCCCCTCTTCACACACAGATACTTTGTGTAGCACCCTCTAGGCAGCATACCCTTTCTTGGCCAGAATAGGAAAATAACTTGGAGGTCCCTTGCACTTGAGTCTGGTATGTGGAAAGTAATGAATCACAGGCCCTCCCAGTACTTTACCAGTAGGAATTGCTTTAATCTTCTGTCTTCTCAGGTCCACCGGATGTTGCTTCTTTGTCACTTTTAGCTTTTGCATGGTAGTGGTTCTCTTGGAGTCATGGCTCATATCATGAATCAAAGATAAAGGGAGGAGAGAGAGAAGAAGAGGTAGTAGTGGTAGAAATGGCTTTACCTTTATTTTGTCCCAGTCCCCTCCACACTGGTGCATGCCTCCAGTACCATGACTTAATAAGAATACAGAGTGTCTCAAAATGTTTAGACTTTTGAGATAACTCTTATTTTGAAATAGTAATAAGTTGACATAAATTAACATGTAAGTACATTTTCTTCTTGGGAGTAAACTCAAAGGCTTAAAAAAAGTGTACCGTTGAATTATTTTCCGTATGGTAAACCTTTATAATTTTCAAGAAAAATTAGATTCTGTGTCTGAAATAAATGCAACTCATAGCGACATAAGTTTGTGTTTTGGGACCCAACAAATATTTCAGTATTCTCGCGCTTGCTCTTTATTCATTGACTGTAAAATGTCTAGGTACCTTGTGTGGCAGGAGTCGGAATACTAACGCTCGATGTAGTGCTAAAAACTTTGACTATCCCTACTCTCAGGTCTTTTTTTTAAGAGAAAGAGAGAGGAAGGGGGAGGAGAGAAGGAGAGGAGGCTCTTATGTGGTCTGTTAATTACCGAACCAGTGGGGGCCCTTGTCCCAGTCCCTATATCATCATAGGCCCTAGTTACAATAAAATCTAGAAACTTTGATCTAGAACATACTTAAATGATCCAAACTATAAAATTTCTGTCTTTAACTTGTTGACCCTTCATTATTCATTGACTGACTTTACTTCCTCACTTGCAACTCCCCCACTTTCCAAAATTAAAGGATTAAACAGTTCAGTAGTAATAGTTATATGTTTTCTTTTAAAGAAATTCCATTGATATATTTTGCTGTTCCACACATGCATTTCCCAATATATGTCTCCTCTCCTAGTCGTAAAGAGCCATCCTCTATAACAGAATAAAAAAAAAAGTTTAGTAAAACTATTGAGCTCTTCAAAAAAGTCCAACATTATATTCAGTTTTCATTCAGGCACTTGGCAAGGATTTATTAAGCACCTATTATGTACTTATGCTTGGCACTGGGTATACAAATAAAAAGAATCAAACAGTGCTTATCTCAAAGGAGTGCAGATTCTAGTGGAGGAAACAGAAGGGAAGGAAGGAAGGGACAGAGGGAAGGGGGAAGGAAGGAAGGAAAGAAAGGAGAGAAAAGAAGGAAGGGATAGAGGGAGGAAAGAAAAGGGAAGGAAAGAAGAAAGTGAGAAAGAGGAAAGGAAAAAAATGGGATTTGGACCTGGATTCTGGAGACCTGGATTTGAATACTGCCCCAGGTACTTCCTAGCTTTAATTTAGCCTAAATCTAGTAATCTCTAAGAGATAATCACACTTATTCAGTCTACATTATAGCATTATGGGTCCTTTCCTGAGAAAAGCACTGAGGAAACTGTAAGAGAATACATGTAAGGTGTTTTATCAACCTTAGATGCTATGTACATGTAATCTGTTTATCATCCTCTTTGTTTGAGGTTTTTTGTTTTGGTTTGGTTTTGATCTAGACTTATTATTTGGTTGGTATCAGAAGAGATTTCCAATGTGTAAACACCCCATCAATGTAAACAATAATAATCCCATCACATAGCTTTACGTCTATTTGGAGGAAACTAGTAATTAGTCTCCAACAAATAGGGCCTGCAATCTCTAGCAAATGGGTACTGCAGATTTTAGGGTGTTTAACTGAAGAAAGTATTGAATGTCAAATTGCGACTAAGATCACACTGTTAGTAAAGAGGGGAACTAGACTTTGAACCAATCTTCAAGGACTTCTGAGGAGAGATATCTTTCCACCGTATCATGTTGCTTCCTGCTCCTTTCTAACTTCTCCTTGGGTAATAGAAACAAAATAGAATTGTTGGAATCCCAAGATTTAATAGAGCTGACATAGAACTTCGAGCTCTCCAGTCTTCTAGACTAATCCCTTCCTTTTACAGATGAGAAAACAGAGACCACAAGAGCTCTAGCGATTTGCCCAGGGTCACCCAGCTGGCAGCACAAAAGCAAGACTTGAACTCCAGGCATCTGACTTGATATTCAGGGCTTTTTCAGGTACTTAATAGCACCTCCCAAGGGTTTGGTTTTTCCTGCTAGTTTTTAAAAGTATTTACTCGTAGGTTTTATTTTCACATATACACATTTATGCATATATATGTGTACCCAAATGTATGTGTATAGCACGCCATATATGTATATACATACAGCCTAAATATGTGCGTACACACATAGCTATATGCACATATCTGCTTACGCTAATATGTATTTGCATACATGGAATGTGTATACATGCGGATATATGTACATTACATATATATATGCACATAATGTATCTACATGTGAGTGTATATGAAATATATCTATATACACATGTATGTATGTGTATTTTACATGTTTACATATAGCACACCTATATACATATATACCTATATACATACATGCATGTATGTGTGTATGTATAGGTATTTCTACTGTTCAGTTGTTCCATTGTGTCTGACTCTTCAGGACCCTGTGTTTTCTTGGCAAAGATATTGGAATAGTTTGCCATTTTCTTCTGCAGTGGATTAATGCAAAAAGAGGTTAAGTGACTTGCCAGAGTCGCACAGCTAGTAAGTGTCTGAGGCCAGATTTGAACTCAAGTCTTCCTGACTCCAGACTGAGCATTCTATCCACTGAGCCACCTGGCTGCCTTCATATATAGATATATATGTATATGTATAGTATGTGTGTAGATATTGTATAGATGTAGATTTATATGTTATATATTATGTAGATATGATTATAATAGAAATCAAGGGAAACATTTAAATATGAAAAAGTATACATATGCACACATGTGTGTATATGTGTGTGCATACACACATACTCACACAGGTGAAGACATATGGAAAAATAAACAGGTATACACATATGTATACATATGTATATACATGTAGAATTAATCAATATATACATACATTTATACATATATGTATATGTTTGTTTTTCACTTTTAAAAGTTTTACTTGGTTTCTGTTACATCTATGTAATATATATATATATATATGCATACACACATGTTATTATTCAGTCGTTTCAGTCATGTCTGATTCTTCATAACCCTCTTTGGGGTTTTCTTGGTGAAGAAATGAGAGTTGTTTGCCATTTCCTTCTGCGCTTATTTTGCAGATAAGGAAACTGAGGTAAACAGGGTTAAGTGACTTGCCTAGGGTCACACAGCTAGTGTCTGAGGCCAGATTTGAACTCAGGAAAACGTCTTCCTGACTCCAGGCCCATCACTCTATCTACCTAGATGCTTTGATATGTATACACATACATGCACATACACATACTTACACACATATATGGACGTACACAAACATTTATAACACAAAGACATTCTATACCTGGAGTCAAGTGTTATAGTATTGTACTTGAACACTTCCAAAATCTGTTATTTCTGTAGGTGTGAGTATTCCCTTCACCAATTTACATAACAACTTCCCAGGCCTTAGTAGATAGTCCCAGAGAATTTAAGTCTGAACAAGTTCATCTGCCTGCACAAAGCTGGAGACGAGCCCTTATGACTTGGTTGGACCAGTCTTTGAACAATTCACATACGTCCCTGGATCCATAATCAAAGCTTTTCCACATTTCTAGAACTTGCAGTAGTTTGCCCTTCTTGACTGTCAGACCCTTTGAGTATTATCGAGATGGACCTATACATTTTAAAGACATATCAGAACATGACTTTAATGGAGAGTGCAAGTGTATTATACATTATATCGTATGAGGTATGCCAGAAAGATTTGAAATCAGTATATTTAACTAGGGATACATTCGAGTCTAGACAGATTTTACTGTCATTGTGTCCTGTTTTTATTTTCATAGTTTTACTTTTTATTATAAAGAATGTGGAATGATAAAGATATTGAAGCAGAGCTGGAAGAAGAAATAAAAGCTGAATTGGATAAAATCAGCGTTTCATCTTTGGAGATAAGAGATGAGACTGACTCACCGTCTGAGTTTGGCAGTGAGAGTGAGCCAGTAAGTGTCTAGCTTCTGAGTTTCATTGATCTTTTGTGTTTTGTTCATCTCCACATAATCCAACCCTGTCGTTTTGCAAATGTGAGACCTGAAGCCCCTATAGGGGAATGACTTGCCAAGGCCAAGGTCACGCAATTGTAAAGTAACAGAGCCAGTCTTTGAGCCTAACTTCAAAAGGACAGTTCTTTTGACTACATTCATTCTTAAAATGTCATCAGCATTTAGGAAATACATGAGAAAATGGCTTCTTCCCAAATTCTGTTTTGAGATTTCATGATGGCCCACAAATGACCATGAGTTTTGACAGGCTCATTAGGTAGCTTTGGCAAGGTCTACCAAACTGAAAATATTTAAAATATTGGCGGTGATGACTTTTGTGTCTTTTCAATGAAGACTACCTAACTGAATTCTGAGAGACTACTCAAAGGATAGCAACTAGGTAAAGATTTTCTTTTAGTCACAGGGAAGTCCATCTATTAAATGCTGGAAGGATTGTGGTCTACATTAATAGAAGGAGATTATACACTAATTGAATAACAGATCTTTTGTAGCTAGATTGTGAAGGGCTTTAAAAGCCAAGCAAAAGTGTCTGTAGTTTATTCTAGAGGTAATTGGGAACCATTGGAGGTTCTTGAGCTGGGGAATGATAAGGCCAGGAGGTCAGAGAGTCCATGATGGTGTGAACCAGTGTGGTGACTATGAGTGATGGCAATGGGGATATATTTTAAACATGGTCTCTGCATAGAATTCACAAGTCTTCGTAAATGAGGGCCAGAAAGAAGGAAGAAAAGAAGTCATCTAGAGATGGATGACACTGAGGTTGGGAAACTTCATGACTACCAGAAAGAAACAATAAAGAGAGGAGGGCCTCACTGTAAAGGTCATGAATAACATTTTGGACTTGGGAAGTTTTTAATGCTTATAGAAAATCCAATTAGCAATGAGGGAGTGACTGGATTTGAGGATTGGGATTGGATATACAGATAAAAATCCATAGGAAGAATACATTTATGTTCATTAAATTAAACCAATGACAAAATCCTTTAAGAAGCTTCAACACAAACTTACAGAGGAATTGTAGTTCAGGTTTTATGATTACCTTGTAGACAAGACTGCCTTATAATGAAATACTTTTATAATTAAACCTCCTTTGGATGTGGGTTGGTGAGATGGGTAGGGTTAAGACATACCCATCTTACAGAGAATTCCACTCAATTTCAAGTGTGCTGCAGTAGATTATTATAGTGTCACTCTTGTCAATTTTTGCAAAATACAAGGAATTTCACTAGACAGTTAAATGAAATATATCTCAGATGGTGTAGAAAAGAGTTCATAGGAAATATGTTCTCCAAGTCATAGAATAGTAAATATTGAAAGTATGGGCTGAACACTTATAGGAGTTGCATATATAAAGCAAATACGATGGAAAAACCTTTCAGCAGTTCAGTTAAACCACGTAAGGGGACTTTGAAATCCACTCTGCTACACTAAGCATGTAAATTTTCCCTTGTGTGTTGATTCTTCTGGGAGTGAGGCATAACAGAAAAAAGGGGGGCTGGGAGTGGGCAGGGATCTACAAAGGCAATTTTATTTTTTTTAATTTTAAAAAAAAATTATTAATTTATTTTGATTTATCAACAATCACTTCCATATGCTTTTGAGTTGAAAATTTTTCTCCCCCTTCTCCCCCCCACCCTCCCAAAGACAGCACACAATCTGATATAGGCTTTACATTTACATTCCTATTAAACATATTTTCACATTAGTGAAGTTGTAAGTAAAAATTAAAACCAATAGGAGGAACCTTCAGAAAGATGAAGCAAAACTCAACAGAAGGTAAAAATAAGTGATAGCGATTCGACTTCCATAGTTCTTTCTTTGGATGTGGACAGCATTTTCCATCCTGAGGCCTCTGGAGATGTCTTAGACCCTTGTAATTCTGAGAAGGGTTCAGTTTAACAATATTAGTCATCACGTAACGTGGCTGTTATTGTGTACAAAGTCCTCTTGGTTCTGCTCACTTCACTCAGCATCAGACCATATAAGTCTTTCCAGGTTTTTCTGAAGTCAGCCTGTTCATCATTTCTTATAGCACAATAGTATTCCATTACATTCATATACCACAACTTGCTCAGCCATTCCCCAAGTGATGGGCATCCTCTCAATTTCCAATTCTTTGCCACCACAAAAAGAGCTGCTATGAATATTTTTGTACATCTGGGTCCTTTTCCCATTAGTTTGATCTCTTTGGGATATAGCCCTAGAAGTGCTATTGCTGGATCAAAGGGTATGCACATTTTTGTAGCCCTTTGGGCATAGTTCCAAATTGTTCTCCAAAATGGTTGGATCATTTCACAACTCCAGCAACAATGTATTAGTGTTCCAATTTTCCCACATCTTCTCCAACATTTATCATTTTCCTGTTTTGTCATGTTGGCCAATCTTATAGGTGTGATGTGGTACCTCAGAGTTGTTTTGATTTGCATTTCTCTAATCAGTAATGATTTAGAGCATTTTTTCATATGAGTATAGATGGCTTTAATTTCTTCATCTGAGAGCTATCTGTTCATATCCTTTGACCATTTATCAATTGGGGAATGGCTTGTGTTCTTATAAATTTGTCTTAATTCTCTATATATTACAAAGGCAATTTTAAAGAATTGGTCAGAAGAGGAAACTCAAACTTGGGACTTTAGAAGCTTTAATTCCATGAGGAGCACAGAGGCTAAAGAAGAAATAAATATACTGAAAATGTAAACTGAATCATAATGGGGATAAATTAAATTGCGTGTAATTGGTTTATACAAATGTAGTCACCTTTTAATAAACATATTAGAGAATAGTCTCTGCCCAAATTCTGTTTTTTTAAATTTTCTGTTTGTAGAAATATAGAAGCACCTGGAAATGAAAACTAAATGCATAAATAAAGCTTTTGTCTCCTTAACCCCCCCCCCATTTCATATTTGGCATGAATTTAAGAGTAATTTCTTTCTTTCTTTTTTTTTTTTTTTGGCTAGGCAGTGGGGTTGAGTGACTTGCCCAGGGTCACACAGCTAGTAAGCGTTATGTGTCTGAGGCCAGATCTGAACTCAGGTCCTCCTGAATCCACGGCCGGTGCTCTATCCACTGCACTACCTAGCTGCCCCTAAGAGTAATTTCTTAATGAAGATTTGCTCATAAAATTGAAAGAGTGGAAAGAGACAGTGAATGCTCAGCACGTAGTTTTACTAAGAAACACTTTTTGATTTGATTTTACTGTTCCCCTTTTCAGGGAGAAGAAGACTTACCTGAATCAGTTCTTTACTGTATTAACGTCATAAAGAATCGGAGTAAAGATGCTGAAAATCTTGTTCTCCAGGACTTGGAAGATACTGACATTTCAAGTAAGCAGAGGTTTAACTTAAGTATTAAATGATTTCTCTGCCAGTTTTTGCTGGGAGCGCCTGCGTCCCCAGCTGTGGTCTGATGCTGGCGGAGTGTGAAGAGAGAAAGAATCACGGGCCAGGTGGGAGCAGTGAAGAACAAACTCCGTTTACTGATCTGAGGGCTCAGGCTTATAGAGTACTGGATCAAGCAACAGTAACATTGTTATTCATGAAAAGTACAAATCTAATTAGGCGATTTCCTTCCTTCCTTGTACCTCGTCTGTTACATTCTTTCCTGCCTCCTGTCCTGTACCCCATCCCTTTCCTTCCTTCCTGCATCCTGTTCTCAAGAGACGGAACAGGGGGGTGGTGAGCCGACATCCTGAGTTTCACAGCTGTCAGGCTTAGTACAAGCTGCAGGTAAGACCCGGGCTGGCCTAAGCCCTCCAGCTCCCCAAAGCCGGCCCTCTACAAGTTTTCAGTGTGATGTAAGAATAAAATACAATTTTGTAAAATCATCTGTTTAAAACTACTATTCCTAACTAACCAATCCAATTCAGCAAACACTTATTAAGACAGCATTGTGCGAGGCATTGTAAATATGTCCTAGCTTTCCTGGGAAAGAAAACCCATTTACTACTATGAGTAACAACAGCGTGATTGCAAGGCTCATGTAAGGTAATTGAAGCACAGGGTAATTCAAACACAGGGTAAGCAGCAGATTATATGTGGTAGATCAATCCTTCCATAGCCACCCATATTCTCCTGCTTACTTACTGAATCCCCACCTACCCTCCAGACACAGCCTCTGCCTCCTGCCCTCAGAGTAGGCAGCATGGCCTGGTGAAGGATTGAGAAATAGTCTTTTAAAGTGATCTGCCTTTTTCTGTGCCCTTGAGGTCTAGGGCTGGTGGAATCATAGCAAGTGGCTAAAAGCCAAGGGCTCTGAATATGCTAACCCCTGGAAGAAAGGAGACTGAAATAAGGATAAATTGGAGAACTTAGGTAAAGACAAATCAGGAAACACCCTCCATCAGTCAGTAAACAAACATTAAGCACCTACTGCCTGTCAGACAGTGCCAGACACAAAGAGCTGAGGGGCAAAAACAGTCAATGTCCTTAATGAGCTCACATTCTAATGGGAAAGATAATGTGTAAGAAACTACCTACATGCATGCATGCATACCTTGTTGGTGGGAGGGATCTGACAGGGAAAGAGTGAAGATTTTAGTAGTGGGAGGCAAGGGAGACTGGGAAAAGCCTCCTGGAAAGGTGGGATCTGATTTGAGTCTTGAAGGAAGCCCCTGTAGCCAGGAAGAAGAAAAGGGAGGGAGAACATTCCAAACATGGTGGACAGCCAGTTGAGAGGCCCAGTCAGGAGATGGACAAGGAACAGCAAAAAGGCTGGTGTTGCTGGATTACTTGTTCCTTGACACATATGTATATGTACATACATGCATATAACACATGGTATACGTGTACATATATACATGGGTACATGTACATGTTGTACATCTATACATACACCTCCATCTATGATTTTATTTTAGTGTCATGACAACCCTGTGAGGCATATATATTATAGGCATTTTTATCCATTTTTCAGATGAATGACTTACCCACGATCACATGGTATAAATAGTGAGACTTAGACCCAAGTCTTTCTTAAACCAAACCCAGCATTCTGCTCACTGTGCAACATATATTATGCAGCTTGTTAACTTTCTTCTCTTCATCGATGTTAGTCATTGTCAATTGTCCTACACCTATTATGACAGATTTCTCCAAAGCATCCAACTTCACTGTTCATATATGACACAGCACATAATTATAACACAATTCAACCATTATTGGAGCAAATTAATATCATAAGATCATAGATTTACATCTAGAAAGAGACTTATGGGTCATTTTTTCCAAACATCTCGTTTTATACATAAGAAAACTGAGGCTCAGAAAGATTAAGGGGCATGACCAAACTCCCACCTTTAGTAAGTCACCAATACAGGAGTGGACACAGGTGCTCTGAGTAATTCCCCAGTCTTGCACTTTCTTTACTACAGCATGTTGCTTAAGAGTAAAACCATAGCATTGCCTGATGTACAAATATGGAATAGAGAGATTAATTTTAAATGTAAACTATTAAGTCAGTAGAAGGGAATCTATACTCTCTGGTCCAGATATTACTCACTTGTAGTTCCTGGGATACCCCAAACATCCATGGTGAGTTCTTCAGACAAGATACTCTGTCTGTCTATATCTATTTAATGCCATAGTTCAGGAGCCCCCACTGGTATGTCTGCCTCTGCTAGTCAACAAGAGAATGCAACTAGTGTGAAATGAAATATTTCACTTAATGCAATAGCATAAAAAAGAAGTAGTAAAACATTTCTTTCTATAAGCTTGGGGAATACTTTCCCACAAATATACATACAATCTAGAAGAATGCACACCTATAGGGAATGTGTGCAAATAAATGCATTCCTATGAGGAACATGTATGGCATGGTCAGACACGTGGAGGAAGAAACCCCCAAACACCATTGCTTTAAAGTTGCCCATATCACCTGCTGAGGTTACTGCATTCCTCCTGGTTTTGTCAGAAGAGTTGAAATTTCCCTGGGCCTTGCTCTCTGGTGGTCTCCAGTGGCTACTGCTCAGTATTGCTCCTTTGGTTTAATGGTCATTGCTGGGCACTGCCATCTCTGGCTCCATGGGGCGGGGCTTGTGGAGCATTTCTCCAGTTGCACCTTCCAGTTTCAGCTGGAGCCCTTAGCTGGGGGGCTGTTTCTTGCTAATAGAAGCATGAGGAGAATGTGCCATGTTCTATTAGCTTATAGCCTATAAGCTTCTCTTCCCCTCTCCTTCCCATCACCCTCTTCCCTGGCCCTGGCTGTGGCTTTTGGAATACTCCCTCTAAAAAAATAATACGGTATGTATATGTGTGGGTGTGGGTGAGGTGAAGGTAGAAAGTATGGCTCTACATCTAGCATTGGGTCTGGATGTTGTGATTTGGGAGTCATCCAGAGAGGTCATGATTGAAACCATGGGAGTAGGTGAGATCACCAAGGGAGAGAGTCTATGTAGACAAGAACATTTTGAATAGACCCTTTGGATAAGGAAGGAGAAAATGAACCACAAAAGGTTTTTGAGGAATTATCTGACAGGTAGGAGGAGAATCAGGAGAGAAGAATGTTACGAAGTTGTACAATGAGAAAATAGAAAAAAAAGGGGGGGTAGGCAATGGTGCCAAATGTGGCAAACCCATACATAGCAAAGAGAATGATGATTAAGAAAAGGCCTTGGTAGCGAAGAGGTCCTTAAAAGTCTTGGAGATAACATTTTCAGTTCGGTGGTAAGGAGGACAGCTACGCCCTCTCCATATTTAGTTACTAGTTCTGTTTGGAAATCTCTCCATTTTTTTTTTCACATCTTTCTTAATTTATGGAGACCTAAACTACATCCTAATAGTAGTAGTAGTTCTAACAGCTGACATTTATAATAGTGATTTCATTTGATTATATTATTAGATAAAATGCTGGCTAATAGATATGCTTAGAGGGTTAAATTTTTTTAAAACATGTTTTATTGGGTTTTTTAAAATCCTTAAATGTTCTATTTTCATGCCAAAGCTACAATGATATATCCAAGTATATTTTAGGAAATGTTAATATGTTTCATTTACTTTACTTAAGATATTTAGTACAGTTACTGAGTGTTTAATTATGGAGCATTTATGCAAAGACAACAAAATTAGATTTTTAAGCCTGAGTATGGTGTTTATGTTTCTTCTTTATTTATATAATTTTAGGATGAATTAATAATGAAGTAATAAGAATTCTTAGCCTCAGAAAAGCAAAAAGTGTGATGAAGAAAAGTTGAAAAATTTAAATTTATGAGAATATTTAAATGTGTTTAATATATACAAGTGCATACAAGCACATATTTATAGATTCAGGCATTTGTAGATGCTTATCTAAATAAATGTCAGAGTTCTTTAATTTTTTCCCTGTAGCTACTCCTTTCACTGATGCAGATTTTTGCAGCCCTTGGATGTAATTTAGGTCTCAAGTAAGTTTCTGTGGTTAAAAAATTTGTAATTTTGTAGCAGACCTGGTCAGGAGCTTTTTTCAACTCTGCTATTTGAGTCTTCAGATGACAGTGATTGAGTCCATTAGAATTCATCGGCTCCCCATCACTTCCAAGGGCAAACACGAAATTATTTATTCAGTGTTCAAAGCCCTTTATATCACCCGCCCCACTTCCTGTAGGTAATACACCTTTCCAGTCTTCTCATACCTCATACCTCTCCAAATACTCTTTGGTTCAGTGGCACTGCCCTCTTTGCTGTTTCATGAACAAGATTCTCCATCTCTTAGCTCTGGGCATTCTTTTCTGCCTGCCCCCCATGCCTGGAATGCTCTCCCTTCTCACCTCTCACCTACTGACCTCCCTTGCTTCCTTTAGGTCCCAGCTAAAATCCCATCTTCTACAGGATGTCTTTTCCAACCCCTCTTAATTGTAGTGCCCTCCTTCTCTTAATTACTTACCATTTATCCTGTATGTAACTTGTTTATACATATTTGCACATTACATATTTGTTGTCTCCTAGTGCCTGGAATATAGTAGCGCTTAATAAATGTGCACATTAACTGACAGTTCATCATGGACCTGGCAAGAGGTGCCTTTGAAGCCTTTCCAACTGATCTACCAGAGATAGTTTAGTATTGATATAACCTTCAAGAACCCAGGGATCTTCTCCATACCATGATGAAGAATCAGAGCAGTATCTGAAAAATATTTTATATAATTATCGGATAATATACCACATAAAGAAGAGCCTAACTAAATGTAATGAACTTCATTGTAAGGCACTTAGTAGTGAGAAGCAAAGCATTTTAGAGGAAGAGAAAAAAAGGCCTCATAGGAGGTATAACATCATTATCTTAGACAATAAAATTAATTAATTTTAGATGTAGAAGAGACTTTAGAGATTATCAGTCAATTAATTCTTATTCAAGGAGCATTTATTAAGCACCTTTTTGTCAGATGCTGTGCTAGGCTCTGGGGATGCAAAGGCAAAAATGAGGTAGTCTCTGCCTTAAAGGAGATTATGTTTTATTGGTGGAAGCTTCAAGCTCATGCATACTTACGTACATAACATAGAAATACAAACATGTGCAAAGAGAATATACTTTTATTTGTTTTGTAAGGGAGGATATCAGGAAAGGCCTCATGTGGGAAGTATAACTTGAGTTGAGCTTTAAAGGAAGACAGGGATTCTAAGAAATAGAGGTGAGAAGGAAGTACATTGGAGGCATGTTGGATATTCCATGTAAAGGTGAGGATATGAGAAAGAGAATTTCCTGTATAAGGAAATTTTGCTGGACTGAAGAGTTCATGGTGGGGAATAACTTGAAATGAATGAAGAAAGGCAGGCTGACATTAGATTGTGAAGGATTTAAAATGCAAAACAGTTATATTTCATCCTAGTGGCAATAGGGAGTTACTAGAGGTTTATGAACAGGAGGGTAACATGGTCATATGTGCTTTTGCAATTACTTTGGCAGTTGTATAAAGAGGGAATCGAAGATGGGGCAGAGCAGAGGAAGGGAGACCAATGAGGCTACACTAGTAGTCCATACGAGGTGATAAAGGTGATAGATTGGGAAGTGGCCATGGGAATGAGAGTAAATGATTTATATTTACAGATAAGAAGACCAGAACTTGACCAAAGACCCACACAGCTATTTAATGATAGAACGAATTCCAGAATCATGTCACAGTATCTAGAAGTTCATTGAGGTCACTTCTCACTGAATGCAGACATCTCCTCTACAATGGCTCAGTGGCCCCTCCTCTCCCCATTGCATGAACACGTGCTGTGAAAAGAAACATCGTAAACTTAACTGCTGCACAAGACAGTCGATTCCATTCTTGGTTAGCTCTATGATCAGATAGGTATTCTTTATTTTCACTCATCCCTGCTGCCTTTAACTTTTACCCTTGGTTTCTAGTTCTGCTTTTTGGAACTATGCTGAGTAAGTCTATACATGGCAGCCCTTCACATATTTCTTCCTTTTACTAGCAAATAGCTGGTGATTCTGTTAATGGAATGGCGGCCTAAACTAAATAGCCAAGGATTAGGTCATCACAGAACTTCTAAAAAAATTTACCTGTTGTAAGTTGTAACTTACCTGTTGATGTGCCTCTTTCTTCAGGTAAATTTCTAAGTACTGTACTTGGTACCTGGTACCTTTGGTAAACATGGTTGCTAATTATATAGTTTAGGACTAGCTTTGGTAATCATAGCTCATTTACTTTTTACATGTAAAGGCAACTCAAATTTCAAATGATTGCATTTAATTTTCATTCTTCCTTATATTTTGTAAGTATTTCATGATATATTATTACAGACCTTAATGTTATAGAAAAAGAATCAAAGTTTGCTAGTTTACCAAATTTTAACCATAGTCTTATATTTAAATAGATATGTAGAAATGTAGTTAAAGATATGTGGACATTTTTTTCCCCTTTCCAGGTTCTAGTCATGGAGCCGTTTCAAACAGTCCTATAGATTTTATGGATGAGTTGACATCTAAGTATCATGAAAATGAATTAGAATTAAAGAAGGTAAGTTATTGAAACTTGGCTGACAGTATTCAGTTACATGCTGTAGAATTTTGGATCTGCCTGACAATTCCATATCATGCTGTCTCCATGAATAAGAGAAGACCAAATTGAGTACAGGCTTTGAATTATATTGTTTTAGAGATTAAGAAGACTGTGTTAGATAAAGTGTTGTATTATTGTCTATTTTCTCTGACATGTAACTCTAACAAACTGAAATTTAAATCTTAGGATTATAACTAGAAGCAATGAATATGATATATGAACTCTTAGTATGTGCATATGCATATCAGAAACACAGATATTTGGGAACTTAAATTATACAATGAATAAAACAAAAGAAACTGTGTATACCATTATTTTGTGAGTTAAAATTATGTATTTTATGAAGTTAGGATAACAGTATACTCTTTCTCTTCAATTAGACTTACTAAAGGGACTTTTGTATAGAAGATTAGAAATTAAATGCAAAAAAAGTGGGAAAAGGAATAATGTTAGAACATACTAGAAAGTACGGAGAAACATATAATTATTTCAAAGATCTATGATTGTTTTTAGTGCAGATTTCCCCTCCAATGACAGATTATAGTTCTTCTACCACTTAGTAGATGCTCGAAAAAATTACATCACTGTTCAGCTGATAGGCTGTTAGGCACTTCTATAAATTTACATATGCTGGTACCTGAACTGGCCCTTACATCCTTTTCCATTTGGTTGGACCAGCCAGACGTTGTATTCCTCGTCATGTAATTTTTTTTTTAGGCAATCGGGGTTAATTGACTTGCCCAGGGTCACATAGCTAACAAGTGCTGAGGTCACATTTGAACTCAGGACCTTCTGACTCCAGAGCTGGTGCTCTTATCTTCTCCTATAGTCTTCTAGACCTTAAGGTCACCCAGTTGAGACAACCAAGTAGGAATTAGGTGAAGGTGAAGAGAGAAAAAGCAAATTCTGTATTCAAAATATTGGGGCAGTTTAATTGCACAGTATGACCACATATTAGAAACTGTTCAGGCAAATACCAGCAAATGAGAAAGTGAAGGCAGAGTCATGGAAAGAAGCATACACTTGCAGTATGGAAGTCAATTGTCAGATTGCTGTAGATTGGTAATCAATCAAAATTTAAAGTGAAATCAGTTCCAAATTCTCTTGTTCAAATGGAGATTTCAGAAATAAAAGGCAGGATTGTTCTGGAAAGGCGCAAATTGATTGCATTATTTTAAGTTCATTTTTCTATTACAAAGTCTCAAAATATTTTAATGCATATTTTAAATGTAATGTTTCACATAAAATGTTTTTGGTAAGTTTTAAGTGTTTTTCATAGCCTTTCACAGATTTTTATTAATTATTGATATCCTTTTGTATCTATTTAGATGTTATTTGAAATAGAAAAAGAATTACAGAAAAATCCAACCTGTGATAAAATCCCCAATTCTACTCAACTTCCTAATTTTTGTAACTTACCTGTTGATGAGCCTCTTTCTTCAGGTAAATTTCTAAGTACTGTACTTGGTATCTTTGGTAAACATGGTTGCTAATTATATAGAACATCTAAATTAAACATTTTTGTTGTTTGTATGTATGTATGTAAATTTTGTAACATTTAGATTTAATAAAGTGATAGTGTTTGAATTTTTAAAATCTCACTGATTGAGTTTATTTCCTAGGATCATAGAATCGTGACTCTAAGGCTAGAAGGACTCAGAAGAGTTAATGACTCGACTAAGGTCATACAAGTAGTAAATGTCAGATGTAGGTCCTCTTGACTCTAAGGCTAGTGCTCTTTGAAAATATGTACTCTTTACTTCTTTACAACTCCTACATTAATTCCTCTTCATCATAAATTCAGATGCGCTGTTAAATGGTGTTCAGTATCTATAACCAGCTATGACTTTATTGCTTTCATATTTAAAGAGTATCTAAGCACATTCTATTTTATGCAGAATCTCAGAATGTTAGAGATTATCTAGCATTTCCCACTCATTTTATAGATGAGAAAACTGATATGATAAATTGCTTGACTAAAGTCACCCGTGTAATTAGTACTAGCTCTCCTTTGCTCTAGAACTCTTTTCAGTAAACCCCATTAGTGCCTTGGTTGCAATTCAAGTTTCACATTTGCTTTCCCCTATTTTATTACTTAAATACTTTTGGCTCAAATATCATTGATGTGTTTTGCGTGTTTGTTCCTATGAAATTATTTTTACACTTTAGGAAGAATGATTTTAAATGGTTTAGAATTTACAGATAAAATGTCATTTATATTTATGTGAGTATAGAGGATACTGACACAATAAGCTTCAGATACCATGAAGTGGAGGAAAGATGTCGACAGTCTTTTGCGGCGTGGGAGGACAAACAGCGGGCATTGGAGAACCAGGACACTGAAAAGTTCAGAGCTCAGCAGGATAGAGAAGAAAAACAGCTGCAAGAGGAAGAAGAAAAGAGACATTGCCGGATGAAGCAATTTGAAGTAGAAAAGAAAAAAATAGAAGATATTCATAAGGTAACATCTGTCAACAAGTTGTTACTGTTCAGGTGTTCAGTTGTTCAGTCATGTCTGATACCATGTTGGGTTTTCTTGGAGAAGATCCTGGAGTTATTTGCCATTTCCTTCTCCCATGTTTCCCCATTTTACAGATGAGCAACTGAGGCAGATAAGGGTTCAGTGACTTGCCCAGAGTCACACAGCTAGTAAGTGCCTAAGGTCAGATGTGAACTCAGGTCTTCCTGATCTGGGCCTGGTGCTCTATCCACTGCACCACCTAGCCAAACCTGTAAATAATAAAGATCCCTAAATAGGTACATCCCCACAATCCATATCTGTGCTTGAGACTGAAGTTATGTTATTCAGCATCTGCCTTTGACATTACGTATAGGGGCACTAACAATCACTTAAGACTTGTTGGAGGTGATGGCCAGTAAATATTTAGGAATTTTGTAATGCTTTTTACTGAGTTTTGCTAGGCTCTTTTTTCCTTTTAAAAAAGAGATTTTTGATTAATATCTGTTGCTTTATATGTTTATTTATTTATTTATTTATTTTGCTTAGGTAGTGGGGTTAAGTGACTTGCCCAGGGTCACACAGCTAGTAAGTGTTATGTGTCTGAGGCCGGATTTGAACTCAGGTCCTCCTGAATCCAGGGCCAGTGCTCTATCCACTGTGCCACCTAGCTGCCCCCAAATAGTGAAATGATTTTTTTTTTGGTGAGGCAATTGGGGTTAAGTGACTTGCCCAGGGTCACACAGCTAGTAAGTGTCAAGTGTCTGAGGCCGGATTTGAACTCAGGTCCTCCTGACATCAGGGCCAGTGTTCTATCCACTGTGCCACCTAGCTGCCCCAATATCTGTTGTTTTTATATCACCTAGATTTCACCCTCATATGTTTCCTCTCCCAGAATTATCTCTTATAATAGTTTTTAAAAAGAAGAGAAAAAAATTAGGAAAACCTATCAGCACATTGAAAAAAATCTGACATTATTTACAATGTTCCATTCCAATGGACTTCAATCTCTGCAAAAGAATGGGGAGAAGTGCCTTTTTACATCTTCTCTTCTTTGGTACTAAGATTTTTTTCTGCCCTAGTTTGTTTAGTCATTCCCAAATCAATGAATATCAACTTTTTTTCAAGTCTTTGCTACCACAAAACATGCTGGTATAAATATTTTGGTGTGTGTGAAACCTTTGTTTTTGTTAATAACCTCAAGAAAGTCTAGCAGCAAGATATAGAAAGAGAAATTCCATTTAAAATAACTGTAGACTATATAAAATACTTGGGAATCTACCTGCCAAGACAAATCCAGGACCTATATGAACACAATCACACAAATAACATCAGAGCTAAACAATTGGGAAAGTATTAATAGCTCATTGGTAGATGAAGCCAATATAATAAAAATGACAATTCTGTCAAATTAATTTACTTATTCAGTGCCATACCAATCAAATAACAAAAAAAATATAGAGGTAGGAAAAATAACAATTCATCTGGAATAACAAAATGTTGAAAAATATCAAGGGAATTAAAATATATATTAAAAATAAAGATTTTGAGACTTTGTAATAGAAGAATGAACTAGAAATAATGCAATCAATTTGTGCCTTTACAGAATAATCTTGCCTTTTATTTTTGAAATCTCCATTTGAACAAGAGAATTTGGAACTTAATTTCACTTTACATTTTGATTGATTACCAATCTACAGCAAGATTTCTTTAAAAAGAAAGCTCTGATTAATTAGATTTTTTAAAAAAAAATTCCCAGAAAAGCAACAATAGAAAACTTACTCTTCCCTAAAGTCAATTGAAGCTAAACACAAGTTGCATCAATCTAAGTATGCATAGATAGCAATGATAGATACCAGTATATATGTGTGTGTATGTATATGTGTGTGTGTATGTATATATGCACACACATATCAAGTGTTTTTAATTACATGCAAAAACAACTAACATTAATTTTTAAAAACTTTGAATTCCAAATTCTCTCCCTCCCTCCCTCCCTCTCTTCTCCTTTCATTGACAAGACAAACAATATGCAGTTCATTTCCCTATTAGTCATATTGTGAAAGAAAACACAGACCAAAAAAAAAAATCCTCAAGAAAAGTAAAGAAAGTAAAAAAAAATATGCTTCAATTTGTATTTAGTGTCCATTTGTTCCTTCTCTGGAGATGGATAGCATTTTTCAACATGAGTTTTCAGAATTGTCTTAGATCACTGCATTGCTGAGAATAGCCAAGTCATTCACAGTTGATCATTGTACAGTATCGCTGTTACTGTCTATAATGTTTTCCTGGTTCTGCTTATTTCACTTTGTATCAGTTCGTGTAAGTCCAGGTTTTTCTGAAAGCATCCTGTTATTATTTCTTATAGCACAATAATATTCTGTCACAATCACATACCACAATTTGTTCAGGCATTCCTCAATTCATGGACATCCTAATCCTCAATTTCCCATTCTTTGCCATCACGAAAAAGAGCTTCTATAAATTTTTTTTGTACTTATAGGTCTTTTTCCTTTTTTTTCCCTTTTAATTTCTTTGAGATGTAGACCTAGTAGTGGTGTTGCTGGGTCAAAGGGTATGCACAGTTTTATGAGATGCCAGCACATTTTTAATCTGGTTCATTAAGATAAGTTCTGCTCAGTTAGAACTCCAATTCAATTCATCTGTCCATCCATATATAGATATAAACAAAACAGTTTTCCAGCTTCATCCAAAAATACGTATACATTTAGAAACCAAATGAAACATTTTCTCAGTTTCATGCACACTCATACATTCAGTAAAAACAAATCAAATCTAGGCGTTATTCCTGCCCCACCCCATCCCACCCATGTTCACTATCATATCAGTTAAATCTTGAGAAAATAAAGAATCATGTAGATAATGGCGTTCTCTTAATTGAAATTACAGAAACATGTAGGGAAGACAATAAGGAGCTATTGGTTTGGGACCACATTCTGAGAGGTAAAGGAAATCCAGACTCCTATAGGTGAAAGGCTCAGCTGGACCAGGAAGGAAAAAAAAAAACCAAAAAACAAGGACAGATCAGAAAGTCAAAAGGAGGGGGAGAGTAGAAAAGCAACAAGTCTGTTCTCATTGGAAAGCCTACAACAGCTCTCAAAAATAAAGAAAACATGCACATGTTCTCTGGGGACAGAGAGATAAACCTACCAGTTCTCCCATAACAGTAAGGGAGGTGATAAACCATTGTCTTAGAGCATCCTAAACTCTTGCTGACAGAAAACAAACAGAATAGTCATCTAGTTAGCTAGACATAGAAACCGAGTACCAGGAATAATGGTTTTTGCTGACCATAGAAGACACAAATAGGGAAAGTCTAATCCTCAAAGGGCAACAATCTCTCTGAGCCCACAGGAGGGATAGAAAAGGAATTTCTATTACTTCAAATTCATACCAGGATGGAAAACAGGGAAAGGGGCAGCTTGCCATTCTTCCTCATTTCCCTGTGTATAGGAGTACCCATATATCAGCCACTGGACCTGTCGTGGCAAGAAAACCCTCTGATTACTGTTGAGAACACAGATCATTAAAGGCTTAATTTTAGCTGTAATTGCAAGGGCAAGGCAGGAAGAAGAATGAGTTGACACAGAGAGAAGTGTGTCTATGGGGCGAGAGGGTTTCTGAATGTGAACCATTTGTTACAAGCACTTATTCAAAAAGCACAGTCTTTCTGGGTTCACAACTGCCCCTTCTCTTATTCTTGGGAATGGGAGAGAGACTTTCTTATCTGCTAGTCTGAGATAACTCAATCTTTAGGTTGTTCTTTCATATGAACTAGGATAAGGGAATGTAAAACACAAGAAATTAGATGTGACTCCCTTGTTACAATTAAGGGAATGCTTACACTAAAATAACGTTACTTATGCTAACAAAAGGAAAATACGGTCTTTACTACCAAGATAACTTTTGAATTTCTCCTCCCCCTTTTTTTCTATTTCTTTACTTTGAGAGAATCATACCTTACAAAGGAAGATGGTAGAAGATTATATTTATTATTCAGTGTCATATCTGACTCCTCATGACCCCATTTGTAGTTTTCTTGGCAAAGATACTAGAATAGTTTGCCATTTCCGTTTCCAGCTCATTTTACAGGCAAGGAACTGAGGCAAGCAGGGTTAAGTGACTTGCTCATTGTCACACAGGGTCACAGAGAACATTATGGAATGTAAAATGGATAATTTTGGTTACAATAAATTAAAAAAGGTTTGCACAAATTAAATTGATGTAGCCAAGATTAGAAGGAAAGGAAACTGGGAGAAAACTTTTTACAGCAAGTATCTCTGATAAAGGCTTCATCTCTCAAATTTGTAGAGAATGGAGTCAAATTTATAAGAATACAAGTCATTCCCCAATTGATAAATGGTCAAAGGATATGAATAGGCAATTTTCAGAAGAAAAAAATCAAAGCTATCTATATTCATATGAAAAAATGTTCTGAATCACTAAAAAATTATGCAGATTAAAATAACCCTGAGATACCTCTTCAACACCTATCACATTGGCTAATATGACAAATATTGGAGGAGACGTGGAAAAATTGACACTAATGCATTTTTATTGGAGTTGTGAACTAATTCAACCATTCTGGAGAGCAATTTGGATCTGTACCCAGAGGGCTATAAACATATGCATACCCTTTGACCTAGCAATACCACTACTAAGTCTGTGTCCCAAAGATATCAAAGAAAAAAGGAAAAGGACTTATAAGTAAAAAAAAAATATTTATAGCTGCCTTTTTGTGGTGGCAAAGACTTGAAAATTAAAGGATGCTTATTAATTGGGAAATGGCTGAACAAGTTGTGGTATGTGATTGTGATGGAATGCTATTATGTTGTAAGAGATGAGTGGGATGGTTTCCCTGGGGCCAGATGAGGGCACTGGTTGGTGGCTTGGTGTAGGTGTAGGTTCAGCATCACACGTGATGATTTGTATTTTTGAGATTGTAAATCTTGTGTAGTACTGATTTAAATTTGTTTATTTAGCAAAAAGAAGAGAAGATAAATGTTGAACTGCAGCAACAACAGAAATTGTGGGAAAAGAATTTAAAAGAGCATGAGGTAGCTATATTTGTTGTTTTTATTCATAAGATGATTAATCTTGATTAGACTTAAATTTCTATTCTTGACACCTTAGAGTTTTGTTATTAGGTAAGGCTGCTCTCTTTGATCTAGATTTTAAGCATTATAAAAGTCAAGTTCTGAGAATATACTGAATGCCAACATTAAATAAAATGGTGAGCCAAACAAACATTTTCATAGCATGATTTCTCTTTTGTGATAAAAAAGACCAATGTTGTGAATAGCTCATCCTAAGCAACAGAGTGTATTAATTAAGATTGTTTTATTTCTTGAACTCAATTGATCTAATGCAATTCTAGTTGGAAATGTCTTCTCCCCCTCTTTGTTTTTTTATAATTTTTAATATTTTAAAAATTAATTATACCCCTAAAGGTACAGAATATTGTTTTGGTTGGCAATGCCCAAGCATACTGATGCATTAAAGGAAACCCTTATTGGGGTGCTACAAAGATGACTGGAAATTCCATGCTGTGAAGTGGTTAAACTCTAGGGGTACCAACTCTATTTTCTTGCTACTATGGAGACAGTTCTCTTTGATGTCAGCTCCTTCATCTCAGGCTATAGAAGAATAAACTGTTCTCCCAGAATATTTGTGGTAGTTGAAAGGGTGGAAATAACAAGCCATCTACTGATTTCATGTTCTGATAACATTCAAGCATTCTTCTACCCCATGCATACATCTGGAATTCCAGATAGATAGATAGATAGATATAGATAGATACAGATATAGAAATACATATATATATATATATATATATATATATGAGTACCTATATGTATATATATATATGTACATATGCACACACACACACATACACATGCACGCGCGCACACACACACACACACACACACACAGAAAGAAAGAAAGATATATCCCAGAAAACAGCAGGATTCTAAGCTGTCTCTGAACATGGCATATGTCCAAGAGCACATCGTATGTCTGCCACTACTTCTTTATCACTAAGGAGACCTCTTTGTAATAAAATGAAAACTATTTATTAAAGTCCTGGGAGCTTTCAGTCTGAAAGCATTACAATAGTGATTTTTCATTTTTCATACTCTGTTCCTCTGGTAGATTTGTTCAGTGACTTATAACTTACTGAAAAAAGTTTTTCTCACATATTATAAGTAGTTTTTTATAGTGTCTTCTGTTTCTGACTGCTCTAGAATCGTCACAGTCACATTCTACTACTGAATACTTCCACTGTTAGCTATGACATAATATTGCCTAGATTTTCATTGATATAGATGGGTAGAAGGTTTGGTTATTAATATTTTGAAATAGTTAACAAATTCCATATTTTAATCAATTAAATATTCTCCATTCTTTAAAATGTGATTATAACTTTATTAGAATTTAACCAGTTTCAGTGTTTGGCAGTTTTTAATCTGTTGTCTTAATCATCTTATTTACATTTAACTATTTCCTTCTTTAATTTAGGAGTTTATCAGAAAACTACAGTTACAAATTGAGGAGGAAAGAAGAGGTTTGGAAGACCTAAAGGCTGAAGAAAGACAACGTTTGGCAGATGTGCAGCATAATGCAGCCATAAAAATCCAGGCTAGGTATCGAACATTTGTAGCTTATCAAAAATATGGATCAGTTATAAAAGAACAGCTGAAGAACAAAAAGAAGAAAGAAATGCTGGAAAAACAAAAACAAGAATGGAAAGAAATGGCAGGCAAAATTCAACAAAAGGATGAAGAAAGAAAGAAAAAAATGGAAGAGAGACTGAAAAAACAAGAAGAAATAAAAAATCAAAGACAAAAAGAACAAGAGAAGAGGCAGGAAGAATATGAACAGAAGAAGAAAATTTTGAAATTTAAAAAAGAACAACAAAAGTTGATGGAAGAAGCAAAAAGAAGAGAAGAGGTATCTGCAGAGTTGGTAATGAAAAAAGATAACAAAAAAAGAGAAGATCTGATGGTGAAAAAAGAAAACCAAAAAAGTGAAGAGTGGACCAAAGAATTGTTCATGAAAAAAGAAAATAAAAAAGGAGAAAGCACAGCCAAAGAGATTTTAGTGAAATTTTTTACAAAGAAAAAAGATATGGCCATAAAGCCATTAGTAGAAGAAGAAATCAATGAAAACAATGTAACCAAACATATAGGACCAGAAAATGAATTAAAAAAAATAATGATAGCTGAACAGGAACCTATGCAAAAATTAAAGCAAGAACCACGCAGGGAAAACATATCAAGACAATTGATCATGACAGAATTTAAAAAAGAACAGGATGAAAGTCTAGGAAAACATCAAGAGATGGATGAATTTCAAAGTGGAAAGAAACAAAATGAAAATCTAGCCAAAGATTTCACTAAATCACAAAAGAACGAATTTAAAGAAAATGCAACAAACTACCTAGAGTCAGAGCAGGAAAGAGAAAAAATAAGTTCAGCAGATGAAAACAAGGGAAACAAATTCCAAGAAGCCAGAGAGGCTGAGGGAGTGAGAAACAATCCAGAACAGAATAGACACAGACGGAATCAGGAGGGAAAAGATTCTGAAAGAGGAAAAGAGGAAAAGGAAAAGAATGGAGAAAATCATGAAGAGGAAGGTCACTTCAGAGCTTCATTAAAGCATACGCTTTCACTCCTAAAAGCAGAAAGTAATGAAAACACCATCAGCAATGTGAATGGATTGGCACCAGCCAAAGAAAGTAATTCTCAAGCTATTGATAATGATGAAAGCTCAGAAACAAATATTCTTACAGACGGTGAAACTATAATTCTTAACACCTCTGATATCATAGTAAATGTGGAAAGTAATTTATGCAAGACAAAATCTGTTATCTGTGTGCCAACATCTTATGGCTGTGCTGGTGACTCTGATAGAAACTCATCAGCATCTAAAGAAACCACAACTGCCCCATCTGTTACAAGGAAAACACCAAGGGAGTTTTGTGGACACGGAGCAGAAAGTAAAAGCACGTCTACCCATTCGCTGAGTGAGATAACAGTTTCAGCTTTAGTTGAAGAAAAGAGACTAGCCTGGATAAAGACCTGTAGACCCTGGCTCGAAATCTTCAGGGAAAACCAAAGAAAGAAAATAGTTACAAGAAATAGACCTAGGAAGTGCTCAGTCAGCAAGCTGCCTGCTCTGAATGCAGTGGCAGTCCTTCAAGGTGGACTGTGGAGTACCTTACAACAGGTAGTATACCAATTTCTTCATGACAGTGTTTCATTTTTATACTTAAAGGATTCCAAATGTAAATTTTCATTTATATATGTGGTACTGCTGATTCACACTCCCCCCGCCCAAGTGTGGCCTATCATCAATACTTTCTGCACTGATACAGATTACAGCCCCTCTATAGCTCCATAGATGGTCTTCAAGAGTTCCTATGGCCATAAAATTCATCACTTTGCAGCCAGCCTGGTGATGAATCTGAACTTAGCTAGGAAGATCTTCATAAAACCCATTGTCTGTCATCAACTCCATGCATGGTCAAAGCCTTTTAACTTTGGTTTGACCTGCCAGAGCTTGTGCATCCCTGACATAACTCTGAGAACCTAAGGTCACCTAGACTTACTCTTATATATATATGGGCATTTAAACTTAGTGTACTCTAGAAAAATATTCTTTTTATAATATGGCCTAAATATTCTAGTTTCCAGCTCATTTAATGGAACCATCTTGGAATCACTTTGGATATTCCCTTTGATTAAATAAGGTGTAATTTTTGACTCATCCCTTCCTTTAGGTTTGTGATATTTGTGTCCCTTGTTGAACTCTGTTTTCCTATATCCTGAGCACTGCTTCCTACGGGATGTCCAAAGTTCTTCATTGTTGTACTTATGGTAATCTCCCTAAGGAATAGCTTTTCTTTCCTTAGAGTAGCCCTGCCTTTTTGTTCTTGGTAGCTCCCCTCTTTAGCATTTAAGTAAATTTAACATGAAGAAGGATTTGGATCAAATTCCTTTGCTTTTACTGCAGAAGTTTGATCACCAGTCACCATACTGATTTTGAAAACAAGTGTTTAAAATCATTTGCAAAGTTTTAAAAAAATTTCAAAATATGACTAATACATCAGGTTCCTTGTAAACAAAGACAACAATTTCCCTTCCTTTCCTTATTTGGTATTTGATTTATTTGTGAGTGATCATTCTTCAACTATATACGAGTATCCCTTGCATATTGACAACTTTCCTTCTGTTGATTTTCTGACTTGGGAGCTTCATTTTATGATGTCCAGATCACTTGTTGTTGTTTGAAAGCAGTTTGTGCCATTCTCTAAGACCTTTGGAAAAGAACAGATTATATATCTGACGTAGTAATTTGTTGAACATGAATCCTTACGAACAGATTGCTAACACTACTCTCCCCACAATTTAGATTTGAATATATGGATTACATATTAGAGATATTACTTTTATTTTATAATATATTTTTCCTCCTTTGTGTTTGAAAGAACTGAAGAGACAGGAACAATTGACATCTTAAGGACTTCCTAAAGACTTCTTTTAGTAAAATGATATAAAGTTGGTAACCCTGGATCATTCCACCATTATGATAGTTTGCTCAATTGCATGCAATTTAAGGATCTCTGATTATAGATAATTAACACCTTTTTCTGTGTATAACATTCTAAATAATTCACCATCCTTTAGCATTTTGGATTTTTGATATTAATAATAGGTTTCATAAGGCATTTACAGTTACAAGAATTTTCCATGTACTGCATCTCTAAACCACATTTGGTAACATTTAGCCACTGATTGACTTTTTTGTTAGGTCAGGATACCCTGCTTTCTCCATTACATAGCTAGATTGAATAAACTATTATTTTGACAATTTTTCATTTATTTAATGTTTTCAGTTTATACATATATATGTGTGTGTGTGTATATATATATATATACACATATATATATACGTGTATATATATATATATACACATATATATATATACATATATATATACATATATATATACATATATATGTATATATATATGCACATACATATACATATATGCTGACAAAAATGGATAGTGAGTCTGGTTTAGACCATTTCTATATTGACCATGGTATTTTTTTGATGCAGAAGCTATCTGTATATATATATATATATATAATATATATATATATATATATATATATATTATATATATATATATTATATATATACACACACACACGTATCTATATATGAACCATTAACAAATAAGTAACATTTAAAAAGTTTAGTTAAGATAAATTTGACCACATATTTGTAAGGAGTCCAGAAAGTGAAGCATGACTTTTATATTGTACTATAAAGAATAAAATGACTCAACTACTATGTAAATGAGAAGGAAAGTCTGTGAGAATACTCATTGAGGCATATCTAATACTAAATAAATATCATCATCCAGAACATTGTAAAAGATTGTGATTACTGTAATATCTAGGTAAAGGAAAATAGTATTTTCCAGGGTAACTAAGGCTTAATATGTTTTAAGTCAGTTTAATATAAAATCATACTGTATGTATTTAGATGGAAATTTAGTTTTCTTAGTAATTTTCAAGTCTTTGTTTCTGAGTAGTTTTATCCTCATTTCTTATAACATTAAAACATTCTAAATTGTAGACTTTCTGGTATTCATTTCTATATATTTTCTGTCATTATTATAGTAAAATTAGGTTCATTTAATCAATTATATAAGAATAAAGATTTTTTTTTTTGGCAAGGGGCACCTGTGGACTAGGAGAAACCCAATCTTGCACAAGGAGTGAAGCCCATACTCAGGACTCATATTTAAACTGGGTTCCATACTGGAGAAAGCCTGACTCCTAAAGGGGAGGAGTTAGTATAACCTCAATTTTGGGATTCTGGGAGGAAACCTCTGATATTGTTCTTCCCTCCCAAAAAATTAACAGTGTCTTCTAGACAGTTAGCAGGTACAGGACATCTTTCTTCTCCACCTGGAAAGAAATGCTCAAAACATAAAAATTCATAAACTTACTTTAATACATGCTTTAAAACATGAAATTAGTAACCCACACCTACTATGCTCTACTAAGAATTATTGACAACATTGTAGGAGCTGCCAAAAGATATTTCACTTTCACCTCTGATATGAGCTATGTGTGCAACTCAGAGATCTAGTGTTTGTCAGCATTCCCCGACACAACAAGTCATGGTAGCAGATTTCTTAGCGGTTACTGGTTTGGGGGGTGAGGAGAGCTTAGTGGAGGGAAGTCCTCTCCTTTTGCAAGAAGTCCAAGGGAGAGTTGGCAGATTCAGGTGTTGCTATCAAAGGAGAGATGAACTTTTCTTCTTGCTCCTTACCTACCTCTTGAAGGTAGATCTTATTGGCTCAATTGCCAGTCTTCTTGTGTCCTCTCATGGGGATATCATAATAACCAACCAGTGACTGCTGTTTATACATTGGCTTTAGTGAGGGGTCAGAGCATGTGGCTCAGTAGAAGAGGCCAGAGTGTAGGCTTAGCCTCATAGGAAGTTCTCCAGCTTAGTCAATTAGATGGATTTCCAGTTATGCTGTTCTCCCATTCTGGAAAGTTTTCGGGGTGCTAGAGAGTCTCAAGCAGTCTTTTCAAATGCTTTTTCCTAGTGTACTTGCACTAAAAACTTTGAACAGTCAACAGGACACCATTTTTAATGGCCTCGTAAATGCCAAGCAGAGTCCTAAGTAAGATATTTCATATAGTTCTTAGATAGTCCCCAAAGTATTTATATTTTTTGAACATCTGAACCTACCATAGGTGGTGGGCCTTGAGGCTACACTCATCTGAAAATACAGAGTTATACAAATTCAACATACAACACTTTACAAAGCTCTCCTATGTTATTGTTTACCTGGTGTTTATAAGGGTATTATGAGAGAATGAAGAGTTTAAAAAATCTAGAATACAGAAAAATCTTTGGAAGAAACAATGATTGAGGATCCAAGGAACAAAATTCCTTGCTATAATGTATATTTAATTACACTTCAGGAAATAAAAAATTACATCCTACAAGTAAGGTGAAGTATACTATAACTCAGAAAAATATATAAGGGGAATAATAGCTGTATGATTTTATATCAGTATTACAACAGTTCTATTACATTGTAAAACTGTACAATATTTCCCCAGCATTTGTTAATACTTGGTATGTGGAGTAACTATGAACAAAAGGATGAATTTATAAGCCACAATCTTATGAAAGTTAAATAAGTAAACCCTGTGGAAATTTTGTCATGAGACTGATAGGAAAATCATATTCTTTCCCTCTATTTTTAATTTGATTTTCATTTGAAGGTGTATTAGTTGTAAATAAGTACTTGTATTATTTTGACCTATTATGGAGAGCAATATAAAAAAGTGAGATAGTTTCAAAGGGGGTGAATTATCGACACATATAGGATACAAATTTATGTATGGCTGGCTTAACATTTTTCTTGACCGATCATTTAAAGAAATTATTTACAAGGCTGATAATTGCATATTTTCAATAGAATGGAGTAACGATATCACACACTTGTTTTCATTGCATTTCCTAGGTTACAACAGTAACATTTCAGGATTTGCCAGGGTGTAGTCTTTGCACATTGTCAGAATGTACAAGTCTTCAATTCCTGACTCTCAGGCGTTGTGGATTAACCGCTCTGGAAGGATTGAATAACTGCAAAAAATTGAAGTACATTGATGTACAGGTATTTTCTTCAGTGTTTCTCTCTAGTATTTATTCTGTGATACAATGCAAAATGTTTTGTGTGGATATTAAAAATGGTGGTTTGGAAGAAATACTTATGACTAGAATCACCTATAATTTAATGTTCCTCAGGGGACACTTTAGAGTAAATTAGACAATGAGCCTAAATTTTGGGGTGGAGGGAGATACAGAGTATGGCCTGCTCCACCAAAGTGTCATATTTTGATTAACAGAAGAAACACCATGATCTCAAATAATATGTTTCATTTCTTTTTAACTCTTTCTATTTGTGAGGAAATAGAGTGTTCTCATAAAGGAAGTTGGCATTCTTTGCACAGTTTTTTTTTTTATCAATATCAGGAAAAATTTTCTAACAAGGAGAACTGACCCCAAATGACAGTCTCACAAGATTTTCAATATAGGTGATTCCTGGACAGGAATTTTGTAGAGAGAATTCCTGTTAACATATGATTTGTAACAGCCAACCTCTGAAGTCTTTCCAGCTCTGACATATCTGAGATTCGATGTTTTGTAAAAAAAAAAAAAATTCTTTTAAAATTTTATTCATTTCTCCCAGGCCTGTCAACTGTAGCCAACTGGAACTGGAAATGTTTAATCGTTTATATCAAAATTTTCTAATACCTGAAGTGACCCATCAAGTGTCCTTTGAGTTTTCTCTTCTAGCTAAACATCTTTAGTTCCTTCAACTGTCAGACCTGTAGCATAATTTCTAATTGTCTTCCTACGCTAGTCTTTCGCCTATGAAATTTCTCTAGTTTATCAATATTCTTTCTAAAATATAGGACCTGTAACTGAATAAAATACTTTACATGTGATCTGACCAAAGATAGTATATTAGAACTAATACCTTTCTCATTTTGGATAATATACCCCTAAATCTCAATTTATAGTATTTTTTTTTGTCATACCATTGACTCCATTCCAATTTACTAAGTACCTACTACGTGCAAGAACTAATGTTGTACTTGAATTCCTTTAAAAAAAACTTAGATGTTTCCCACACGAACTGTTTTCTAGCCATGTTTCCCTAAGGGTATACTTGTGCAATAGCTTTTTTTGTAGGCTGTAGTCATGTTTATGACTATCAATTTAATTTTATTAGATTCATTCTTGTAACCCCTCAATAACTTTTTGAATCCTATTTTTATCGCCCAATTTGTTAGTCATACTTCCCAGTTTTGTTAGCCATAAATTTAATAGTTATATATCTGCCATCTCATCCAAATGATAAAACTATTGAAAGCACAGGGCCAAAGGCAGAACTTTTAGAAATCTTCCTCCAGGTTGGTATCTCAACTCATTAATGACTGCTTTGATATCTAGTCATTCCATCTTACTAGTTTTGAATTCATTTAACTTCTATCATCCAGTTCACATCTCTCTATCTGGTACCCAAGGATATTTGTCAAAGATCTTGTTATACAATCCAAGTCTATTTGTAGCACTATTACATTGATGTGGTAACATTATCAAAGTTATAAGCTTAGTCAGCCCTGACCTTGTTTTGAGGTACTTATGCAATCTCTTAGTGGTCATCCTTTTTTATAATATATCCTAGAATTTTGCAAGGAATGGAAGTCAAGCCAGTAGTTTGACAATTCCATTCTCTGTTTTGTTTTCTTTTGTTTTTTTAACTTTGGATATCTCCCCATCTCTAGTCATGTGATACCTCTCATTCTTCTCATTTTTTAAAATATTAGTGATAGCAGCTCAACAGTTACATCCATTAGCTATTTTCACTACTTTAACCAGCCTAATAACTTGGCATAATCTGTTTTTAAAGATATTGTAATCTATACCCAATAGCTTAAATTTGTTGAGGACAGGTCAGTGTTCCCTTGACACTGTTTACTTATCTTGGATTTCAGTTCTCTATTAACCATTCCTTTACTATCCTTCCCAGTCCAGAGCTCAGTTTTTAGTGGAAAAACTTAATTGAATTGATCGCTTTCAATTGGTAGAAATTACAGCCCATCTATATCTTCTCGTCCTGTGTGTTTTTGTCATTTTTTAAATAGAGCCTTTACAAAAGATCCAGCCAGCATGCCAGAGCCCTCCTCTAGTTTAATATTTAAAAAAAAAATTTGAAAGTACCAGTGGAACACTTGGCTTCTCTATCTGTTATTCTTCTTCACATGTGTCATATGACTAGTCTACCTCCTTTTTCCATTTATCATAGCCTGTTATAGCCCTTATACCATTTCTTGAGCACCAGTACATTATCATTGGAAGTATACTGCAGTTTGCTTGCATCTATAATAAGTCTCTCCATTGCCTTTTTGTTAAGCATCAATTTGAATTCATCAGAAATTGTAATGTTCCAAGCTTTACACTGATAGGTCATCACCAGGACAATATGTGTATTGAAAAGGTAGGTCTTTGCATCAGGGAGCAGCTTGGAATCACTAAAAGCACTTCACAGTTTCCCAACTATAATCTACTCCACTCTCTTCTACCTCTTCAGATACCTTCAGGCTTAACTTGATGTCCATCCCCAGTGATTGTCCCAAATATACATACTCATATACTAACTCAGATGTACCAGCTATCTAATCATACATCATAATCTATTCTACACCATGGTTCAGCAAACTACAACCTTTGGGTCAAATCTGGCCCTCTGTTTGTTTTGGTATGGCAATAAAACTTTTCTGAATGTGTAAAAGCCATTCTTAGTTTATGTGCCGTGCGAAAACTGGATTGACCCAAAGGCTGCAGCTTGTTGACCCCTTGTCTGGACAATAAGTAGTTGTTTTTTCTTGTATGTGTTATTAGGCTAATCTCTTTTGAATAATCGTGGATTTTATTGATGAGGCCCTCATGTAGATGAATAGTTCTCCTATCTCTTAATTCGATGTTATTGTTGTTTTGTGCACTTCAGTCCATGAAATCATGCTTCCACAAAGACCTTTTTTATTTTGTTTGGTATTCACCGTCAGCCTCATTTCTGAGCATCACCATCCCTGAGATTATTCTTATGGCACTGTGACATTTCTGTTTTCATTCTGTCCTTGCTTTTACCTTCTTCACAGATTTGGTTTGTTTTGGAATCTCAGTTGATCATTAAGTTCACCGTCTGTCTACATTGTTCTTTTTTTTAAGAATAGCACTTCTTTCCATAACTCATCAAAATCATTATTTCTTATGGTATAAGAATTTTGATTTTGAGGCTGTTTCCCCCATTGAATTCAGTGAGATCCTACTTATTCTTAACTTGAGTTCTTTGAAATCTTAGCCTTCAACTTACATGAACCAAGGCTGAGTGAAGTGAGTGGAACCAGGAGAACATTGTACACAATAACAGCAACATTGTGTGATGACCAACCTTGACAGACTTAGCTCTTCTCAGCAATACAATAATCCATGACAATTCCAAAAGGCTTGTGATAGAAAATGCTGTTCTACATGCAGAGAAAGAACTATGGAGTCTGAATGCAGATGGGAGCATACTATTTGCTCTCTGAACTTGGAGTGATAATTATTTTATTATTAGCTTTATCCACATTTGACAGAGAAGGAAAAGAATGCTCCAGGAGATAATTTGCTTAAGAAGAAAAATTTAATAAGTGTTAGTGGCGGGTCTGGAAGTCAGATATTCTGATCCCTTCTCTGGTTGTTCTTTAGACACGCCATATATGATGTATTTATAATCATAAATAATACATTTAAACTTTTTTCCTCATGATAAATGATTTTTATTTTGGCAAATTTAGGATTGAGAGCTGAATAAGAGATTTCAGTATTCTGTTGGAAGGCTACATTATCTCATCCAATTTGGTGTTTGACCATTTGAAAAATAGTTTGTGTGAGCATTTTTAGGTACATCACATACAACTTAGGTATGTGTTTTTCTTAATATTTCACTAAAATATAGCTATATATATATGTTTTTATTTATTTCAGGAAAACCAGATTCAGGTTATAAATTGTGAGAATTTAGAAAATCTCTGCATCCTTCTTATGAATGACAATGAACTGATTTCATTTCATGGACTGGATGGTTGTAGTAATCTTCGAAATATTGAAGTTTCAAATAACAAGATCACCCGAATTGGTGAGAAAATATACTTTATACATGTAAAGTTATATTTATGTATTGTTTAATTTCATTTTAAAAATAGCTCTAGCAGCAAGCGGATCCCTTGCCTCTGGTGCAGGGTGGAAGGGTGTGGAAAAATGTATCAAATGTTCATCCACTATCTCAAGAATGCTCATACCATTAGAACAAGATGGGGGTTGATTTTATGTTCTCTGGTAGCCAAATGAGCTATTTAAATTGCTGCCTAGAGAGGTATGGTGCTATTTTTTAAGTAGTCAAAAGTGGATGTTGGAGTATCATTTTAATTCTCAGCAAGGATTGTTAGAGCAATCTAGGAAGTCATTAGTGAGTGTATGACAATGTGTTTGAGAGTGGAGGATGTGCCAGAAAGCCAAGAAATCCTGTTGATATTGGTCAGACACATGTACCCTTTACTTTCATACCTCAAAATGTACCCATTTGAAAAAACCCAAAGGCAGCTGCTCTCATCCGAAACCACCTAGTTGGGTCTACTCTCTGAGGTTAGTTCTAAGCTTTCCTGCTATTTATTGGTATGTATTATGGGGTTCGGGTTACGGTTAGGGTTAGGGTATGGGAATCCTTGGGGGGTGAAGGACAAGGATGCCTAGAACTGAATATAACACTCATCTGAGAAACTTCTAACCCAGGATTTATCTGAACTTGAAGCAGACCTTCTTTGGATGATTCTCTAGGGTTAGGAGGAGGTAGAGAATATGATACCTACTATAAAACTTGTTTGCATTTTAAAGTACCTTAGAGCACTCTAATGATGATGAGTATTAACATCCTTTTGGAATTTTTTATACTTGTAAATAATTTTATATTTCACTAGTTTGATGGGAAATATATTTATCTGATTGCAAGCTAAATACCTTCTTGCTAATTGTAAATTCTTCTCTGCTATAGTCGTTCTTACTCTTCCATTTAATCCAAGGCATCTAACTGCTCTGTGCCAGTTTCCTCATTCATGAAATCAGGGAACCAGACACAGTGGCCTCTCAGGTCCCTTTCAGCTTTAAATCTATGATTTTATATGTAAATACATATACATGTTTGCGTGTATATTACATGTATATGTATATATATATGTATACATGTAGTTATATATGTATATACATATAGTTATCCTTTCCACATTGCTGGGGGTTAGGGGTGTGGTGCCCCTGTGATCTAGAAAATCTGTGTAAAATTTTTTGGCCCTTCCTTTGTACCAGAGAAGAAGTCTGAATTATTATGGTGTTACAAGCTAAAATATGTTGATATTATGTAATACTATACATATATTTTATGCATTTCTAAGTTTCTAAACTTTTTCTTTGTCATCTGCTAGCCTTTGCACGTTGTCTGCGGCTTCAACAAAACTCCCCCAAAATTCCCATTTAATTTCTTAGCCAATTTGCAATATATCTAAACCACAGTAGGGAAAGCTGCAATATGGAAGGGATAACTGTATATGTTTTTCCTTATTCAACTGAGGGAGAATATAACATTTATTTATTACAAACAGGCACACTCATGTGTATATATCTGCATATATGGTGTTTTCAGATTCTACTTTTTAAAGTTGTGTACTGCGTACAGTGGGACCACCCATGAGCTTTGAACATTTAAATACTGATACTTAGATATAAAATTGTTGATTTAAAACTTTGAATTTAAAATACATACCGAAATAAATCTTTTTCTCCTTCCCCTGGAGAGAGTACAACTGCATTGAGATACATGTTAATGTCATTGGCATTTACTTGAAGGAATCATGCCAGCAACCTAAAGGCAACCAAGAAAAGAGACTGTTTGTAAGGAGAAATGCTTAGACTTCCGTTCACCCAGTGTTCCTTGCAGTAAGAGTGCACGGAATTCTTCGTAGTGGGTGCATTTCCTGGGGAGCAGCTCATGTGCAAGATGGATGGGAAATGTGCCGCCACATTACTTGATGTTCCTGAGGTATCTCTGTGTAGTGCAGAGCCCATGAGGTAAAAGGCCCCTATGCTGCCTGTTGTGTACAATGAAAACACTGTATTTATTGAGTGTGAGAAGTTTGTAAGAGAAATTGGATGGGCCGGAAGAGTAGAATGTACTGGGGTCTCTGCTCCTTCATCCACAGGACCTTGCCTTCAGAGGGTCTGGTTAAGCCAGGGGAACTGCGTTGACTCTGACTTTTAATGATATATTGAAAGCAGAAAAAAACCTCATGGCAGCGCACAAAGATAGACTTGTCTTTAAAAGTGAAAAATGTACTTCTATCCTGCAATATTTCTACGAGAACTGAAATAAATTTGGAAGGGAGAGAAGTAAAATACTTTGGGTCATGTATTCAGTTTTCAAATTTGGGTTGTAGTTATTTCTGTGGAATGAATGATTATCTCACAATGCTAACCGTACTTAGAGAATTCTAGTTAGAAAACTTTTAGGTAAATTCTTGTTATTATTGATTTTGTTTGAGTGGAAGTCATAGAGTAACCATGGCTGAGGAAAAGTTCACTCCCCCTTTGACCTAGTAAAACAAAATTTACTTAAAATTGTCCAAAAAAAGTCAACTTGTGAAATGTATCAAAAAAAACCACGTTAAAATTCTTCTTGTTGTTTAGTCATTTCAGTCGTATCCGACTCTCTGTGATACCATTTAGAGTTTCTTGGCAAAGACACTGGACTGGTTTACCATTTATTTCCCCAGCTCATTTTACAGACGAGGAACTGAGGCAAACAGGGGTTAAGTGACTTGCCTCGGGTCTGAGGCCAGATTTGAGCTCAGGAGGAAAAGTCTTCCTGACTGCAGGCCTGGCACTCTATACACTGTGCCTTAAGATAAATTTAGTGGGTTTTGATTCAATTTTAAAAATTGGAAAAATATAACAAGCATGATATATAGTTTTGTTTTTTATAACATTTTTCATATCTAACAGTTCTACTGACTGCAATTACTGATATGTGGATTAGTTTTCTGTAAAGAATGTTCATATAAGTTTATTAATTTTTAGTCATTAAAATAGATATTTATATAAAACATTTCAAAATTGTTCCTCTGTGATGTGAGAGAATTTTTACATTTGGAAAAATCAGTTATTATAAAAATTTTTAGTCATGATTTATTTCCTATATTTTGTGGAACACTTAATATAAGAAAAAAACATATTTTCCTTTTCCTTGTATTGTCTCATGGTAATTGCCTCCATTTTTGCCGTATAGTAGTAAAATGATATTTTAATTAGTATTATTTATGCTAGCATATTCTAGATGCTCAGCCCATAATTAGAATAATCAATTTAAACTAGTGATATTGGTAAATTCCTTTGGTAACTTGAAAAGTTTCCATTACTTTGGGTAGACCCCCAAGAATTAGTGAGAAAGCATAGATAGGTTTTTAGGGTTGTAGGGTATATTAGGCAATATTTCTGGCAAGTGTGGAAGCTTAGAAGATAAGAAATAATTTTTAATGAGTTTCCACTTCTAACTCCATAACTGCTTTCCATATACTTGAAAAATGTAGAAAATGACTAAAAGCAGGTATAATTTAAAGTAATGGAAATCCCTCCCCAACATTCTTTGTATTTTATTGATATCTAAGGGAAATACCTTAGAACTGATTTTTTTCAAATTTTTCAAATTTTTTTCAAAGTGAGATTAATATGTTGAAGTGGACATTTTATATTTGTGAACTATTTAGAAATAAAATAAATATCCGTTTATTGTCTGGTGTCTAGTTATACTGTCAAAAGTATTCTTAAAATGTGTAACTATAAAATTTCCGCATTTACAATTGAAAGGAAATTGAAAATATATCATTTGTGTAGATGTTGGGCAAAAATAAAAACTGAAATGTAATCAGTTTAAATCAAGCCAGTTACTTTGATGTTCAGATTAGTGCATGAATTTGGGCAAAGCAGTCATCAAGTTAGTTCATTGTTATGTGTATCCTGAACTGCTGCAGCGCACAATAAGAAGACCCCAAAGTTGAGTGTGAGATTAGTCTGGATTTCACTTAGGAAGTTGCTTAGTGCTTGCAACAAAACAAATTCACATGTGAAAGCTGCTTTAGGAAAAAATTCACCAGGAAGTAAATGTCACTTCTCATCTAATAAGTTGATCACATAGATTCTTCAGTGTCACAGAACAAGGGAAAGAAAATAGAGATCATATTTAAGATGCTATAAAGATTTTATTTGGTAAGTAGCATTAGTAAATTGTTCATTTATTTTCAGTGTTGAAGGTGCAACCTCAATTTCTTTGCCAAAAAAATACTAAACCTCTGTACTTAGTAGCTATGGTGGTAGCATAGCAGTTCAAATATTTTCTCCTAGATTTGGTCAATTTTTGTGATTGTGTAGCGAAATATTTCTGGAAAATCCAGCCTTTGATCATATGAAATGATTGGTTTCAGCCATTCTTCTCTGCACATTTTTCCTTATAAACCAGTACAACCGTGGATAGTTCTGCAAGTATCCAGGTAGAGGAACAAGTTTTTGAAAAAATCACTAGGTTCCGCGCTGCCGCCCCCCCCCCCTTTTCTCTTTAAATTAGAATGAAGTGTTTAGATGTCCACTAGATGGTGCCATTTTGCTTTTTATCTTTTACAGGTAACAGTACCTAGGGACAGGCTTAGAGAATTTTAGAGCAAAGAAGGAATCTTGTATTCAATTCATTTCGACAAATAATTACTAGATGACTGCTGTATATGAGGCAGTGTACTCTGTGCTGGGGATACAAAGAGGAAATAGCACACATCATCTTCCCTCAAAGAACATATTCTAGAGATGAAATTTTGGAATCATCTTTGACAAAACTTTCTCCTTATTTTCATACATTTATGTGGTTGCCAGAAGGCCCACAGTCCTATGATTTTAACCTTGTCAATATCTCTAGCATCAGCCCTGCTACTCTCCACTCCTTCTGTCTCCACTCTAGTTGAAGTTTTTGTTAATTCTTGCCCAGACTATTATGTTTCCTAAATGATATCCATCTCTAGTTTCTTCCTTCTCTGATTCATTATTTTGTTC